GTGTAGTGTCTCAGCTCTGGTATAGGTTCTGTGTAGTGTCTCAGCTCCTAGTATTAAAAAGTGATGGAGATGGGAATCCCCTTTTCATGTTGTCTACTCGCCCACTGCAAGATCTTCCCTCCCCAGTTCAGAATGACTAAGTGCCTTGACCAGTGAGCATCTCTCAAAAATATCAAAACAGATGAAGAATCCACTAGAAGCAACAAAAGGGGGGGTTTCTACCAATATGATGGGTGAAGGAGTCATCACAGACCCTGGCCCAGTTGTGAGACAGGTGGGAGGACTTGCATTTCCTGGGCAGCAGGTGAGATGTTAAGCATTGTTAAAGCATGGTTAAAATCAACTATTATTGGTAGTTCTTATGTTTCTGGTGTAAGCTCCTTCTGCTCATGTTCCTGTAAATAGGCAGTGGTGTTGGGGACGGGGCAATTGGACTATGATCACCAGGTATTGGATTCTCACTTCTTTCCTGTGCTGTCTTAAGAAAAGCACTACCATCATGTCTAACAGTCAATGGGACTATCCTTATGCCAATACCAGCTAGTCAGAACTCTCCATGGCTTCCTCAAATGATCACAAGGATTCCAGCTGATCACCTGGCTCCTGAAGGCTGCTCCTGCCAGGCCAGGTTGAAACAGTTTTCTTCTTGGGAGAGAGGGAAAAAGGGGGAGCCTGTCCCAGGGTGAAGGGACAAAGATGATTGGTGCTAAGGAGTGAGGTTGTGATGGCCCCCAAACCACAGCATTAATGACTGCTTGGTGCTAAGGAGTGAGGTTGTGGTTGACCCAAACATGTGGCACTGATTGGTTCGAAAACCCCTTGAGACATTTTCCTGTGCTACCTGCTTAGGTGTTACAGCGTGGGGCCTAGAAAAAGGATGGGCAGAGTGGGCTGGTAGCAGAGGCGAGGCCCCACAGATGGGGCGGCAGCGGTGGACTTGAGAGCTCATGAAAGGGGCAGACTCAGCTGCTGGGACCAGGACTGCCCGGCTTTCCATCCCCATCACTGAGCTCCCAACCAACCTAGCGCACATCCGTCAGTAACACTGCTTGACAGCTGACCCTGCTGCAGTAGGTGGCCATCCTGCCGTGCACCCTGCCTGTCCACTGGTGATCCTGTCTGCTTGCCCGGATCCCGCCTCGTGGCCAACAGTCCCACTGGTGCTAGCACTGGTGCCCAGGTCCTTAGCTGGCTCTCCCAGGTGCCCAGCTCTCAAGCACAGCCCTGGGCAGGCCAGCACCTCAGCTAATCCAAGTAAGAGATACAGAGGCTCAGGCAGTCTTGAGGATAACAATTCCAGAGCAGCCAGAGAAGGAAAAGAAGAGCAGTAGAGGCAGTGAAGACAGCAGAGCACTGAACCCTGACTGAGGGGCCAGATAGCAGACCATGCAGGCTCTGCTCACCAGGAAGAGCCAGGCACTGTAACGCTGGCCACTGCCAGGAGCCCAAGGCTCTGATACGGAGGCCCACAAAGGGGCCACATTGTTCGTAGTACTAAAGGTCCTAATATCCAAGCAGACACAGGGACCATAACAATAGACTGTCACCTGCCAATGTGCCCCCCCCCCCCGGCTGCCACCACTCACTGCTGTCAGACCAGCATTGAACAACCATCTTGCTCACTGTGAATTTCACCCGGGTAGAGCAGAACCCTCAGCCTGCTGATTACTAGCAGTCGGATACTTCCCCAAGCCTGAAGCCTACACAAAGTGGTCCATGATGGGCCCCTAAGGGAACAAAGCCCTTGGTTAAAGCAAAATTACCCAGTCAGTATGAGGTCTCTCTCAGCCAGGCCAAGCCAACACCAAATCAAAGATAACAATGGTTGTCATG